TGAGGCATCCTTGCAGTGCAGCAGTTTGCTGCTTGCAGCTGAGAAGCGGCTGGCATGGGAACCCACAGCAGTAGAGCATGGGGTCCAGGTCGTTGAAGCGCCGCTCAGCCATATCAGTATACAGCCTCATTTGAAATGCAAAGCCGGGTTTTGCCAGTAATTGCTTTAGGGGCACCCATCACTATCACATGGAAGACTCTTCCCATCAGCAAAGGTTGTGCATAATTCACAAGTATCGTTCAATGCAAGAGACACCTTGGGAGGACTGTTCCGAAGAAGAAACTTGAGTGGAGGTAGGGCTCGATCTGTAGCAGATACAACCTCCACCTCTTCAGGGAACATAAATTAACACAGACCGTTTTTGAAAGAGATTGGTTTGAATTGCATGCTGACTCTTCCGACCACCAGGGTTGAACGAGCCTTCTTCTGGCCAATGAGCTCTTGCAAGGCCCACACCGGGCCATCAGCCCCACTGCCTCAGAGATTCATAGAGATTCTAGGGGGTCAACCAAAAACCTAATGTTGAGAGTTGAGAGCCACATCGAATGAAACGCTTGCCGGGATGCAGTCTGACATCAATGTGAAGCGCACCTTCAGGAAGTCCCGGATGTAGCCCACTCCTTGAGATCAAGTTTTGTTGTTAGTTAGTTACTTTCAGGATCTGTCAGGGGTCCTTTGAACAGACAGACAGTCTTTGAACCACTCTTTGAACTTCCAAGAGTCCTCCACGTCGAAGCATGTCTGAGCCCCAGCCCTGCAGGTGCTGCCTGTGCTGCTGCAGCAATAGCGGCGCCGGCAAGATCTCGTCATGCCTTGGATAAAAACAAAGCCAGTTCTCGCATGGTCATGTATTTTCAGTTCGTTGACAATCAATGATTCTGGGGCACAACTGGGTCTTGGCAAGCTCAAAATTTGCCAGCCCTTCCTCCTCACTGCTGCTAGAGTCCCAGCTCATGGTCGAACCATTGCTATCGGACCCATCACTACTTTCATCACTGCCATCCTCAGTGGAATAGGAATATTCCCCTGAAGATGGCTCGAGCATGATGGTGCTCTGCTGATGGGAAGTCTCCTGACAAAATCAATCTAGAGTCCCGCTTGCTGATGGGAAGAGTCCCACTTGTGACGGGTGCCCCTTATAAGTAAACGTATCAAATCCTGCAAATTGGAAGGGGACGAGAGTGTAGGAGATCGCAGATGCTGTATATAGCATGGAATATGAGTGGTAGATTGTATTCCGGAAATATAGATTTCACCAAACCCCAGAAGGCATAGCGTCCGACACCAGTTTGCAATTGGCATTCCCAGAGCACAACGAAAAGAAATTGGGAAGAAACGGAAACACTGATTATGTGTGAGAAGAGTGTAGAAGTTCAACCTTTGTGTCAGGATTGCGAAGCTGCAGCCGGCGGTTCCATCCTGCTGCTGCGCTGGAGTGGTTTGGAGGAGGGGAAGTGTGAAGCGTAGGGTTCAGCAACCATGGTAGTCCAGGATGTATAGAAGAGATATTATCAGGCTATCCCAAAAATGAGAACACAAGAGTGGCAGCAGTCATCACTTGTTAGAGTTACAGAGGAAGTGGATGCTGGTAGTGGAAAAGCAGTAGTTGCAGTCATCAACTGTCATATCGATCGCGCAGTGGTGGCACTGTCCAGCAGAAGCGGTTTGCATGCCGCCCGAGGCCGAATCCGCACAATTTTCGGCTCATTGCGACAGGGAACTGATTTGCAAATCAGAGTGATGTGTGAAAAGGGAAGCAGCAACGAAGAGGTTAGCGCACTAGTTCCTGATTTGACAGCTTAGCGCGAGTTACGCAAATACTGAAACGGACAGGGGATATTATGCAGAACACTGGCAAGACAGAATGACAAGAGCAACCAAAAGGTTAGCGAGCAGAAGAAGAACAACGCAGGAAGCAAAACACGAATCCGAATACTTACTAGGACTACTTACCATTCCGCAGGACTACTTACGACGACTGACTATTTCTCAGTACTTGCGATTGCTACTGCCATGGGCAAGCAGCCGCGCGGTTTGAGGTCGGAGCCGAGTGAATGGCCGGAGCACTTGCGTAGCTTTGTTCCCAGTAGCAGTAGTCAGCAAGAGAGGCCCGGCATAGGCGCGTTTCGGTCTCTGGCAAACGAAAGCACTGATGTGCGCGAAAGAGCCTTGACGGCGTTGGCGCCGGGCACCGTGGGACGTTCAGGAACGTTGCTTCAGCGACAACCCCAGTGGCTGCAACAGCGTTCGCTGGCGTTTCATGTCGAACATCGGGCCATCGAACACCCTGGAGATGATGCTCGCTCGAGCCGGCAGCTGAGCTTGTTGACCGCCAATTTTGGAAGTCTGGAGCGGCTTGGAGTCAACGCTGCAGGGATACAGGAGGAGACAAGAGTGCAGTCATATTTGGCAGGAAAATTTCACTTGTTATTACTTCAAGAGGCATATAGCCTGGACTTCAAGCGGACATTGCGCACCTTCGGGTATTCATTTGTGACTGGGTGCGGCGGAAACCTTTTGATTGCAATGGGTGGCACGGGTGGCCGTTTCTCACTCAACTCCTATAGATGTTATATTTTCGAAACTTCCGTCACTGCCTCGTGCGGCTATATGTTAAATATCACATTCTTTGGATAGTTGAATACTTACACTCGGGATCAAAGTCCCTTTGCTGTTCGACTTAGCTTTCCCGGGACGGTTCGCAGTGCAGCGGCTCCAAGCACGCACTTGCTGCAGCAAGGGAGAAAAATTTGCGAGTCAGCAGCAAGCAGCGAGCGGCAATAGTCTCCGCTTCTCCACAATCATCAATCACTGCATGGATGCGCCTCGCTCCTCTGCGGATGACCTTGCACAAACTTTTACCCACTAAAATTGAACCATGTGTCAACATCCACACGTGAAATACTCTGGCATCGCGCAAACATAGCGCAACTTCATGTACACCATGAAAAACATGGATAGTGTGTATTTTTCTGTTCTGGCTACGCCGGTGCCCCGCCGTACCCTTCTGTTGAAATTTCCAACTTCTATCTTCACTCCCGTAAGATTTCACACCTGAAACGGATTCAATCATATTTCTACTTTTTCCGCTTTCACCATCTCAGACACATACAAAAAAGCCAATCTCCAAGCATATTCACAGAACATTTTCTGTAACATCCAACATGTGAGCGATACCAAAAAAACTTGACCCCTGAATTTTTATAAAAAGACAAAAGTCAGGTTACGCTAAAAAACACCTGGTATCGTTTTTGCTTCTTCTTCCCCAGCTTGCCTACAAATAGATCGTTCGCAAGAAACCAACAAAAGACACCAACAAACGACTTAGATTGTATGAAATATCTTAGATATCAGATTTCCTGACTACCAAACATCTCAAAACCACGCTATTTGCGTCGTTTCGTAGCCCTCGGAAGCAGCGAACGCCGTAATTACCGATGTTTTTTGACGCTCAGGTGCTCAAAACCACAGTATTTACGATGTTTTTCAAACAACGCGGTATTTGCGCTGTTTTTTGCACACGCGCCTGCAAACACATCGGTATTTACATGCTTGGGCTACATTGTCATTTAGTTTTGTTCAGGTCACAATTTGCAAAAACACTGTAATTTACACTCTTTTGGGCCTTGCCGCACACAGCAAAAACATTCAAAAACAGTCCCAAAACCACCCACATTCTGTGCCTTTCCCGATCTGCGATTTTTGGTCGATTTTGTACACATTTTTACCATTTTTTTACCCTTTCCGATGTCCCCGGAAAACGCCTCGTGCCCATGCAATTCAATGATTTTTATGGATTTTCCTAAAACCCGATTTTGGAATCGCTCAACTTCCAAAAACGAGTCGAAATGCAGGCGAAAACATCGTTTTTTCGAGCCACATGCAAAAAACACTGTAAAAAACAGGGTTGGCGTCAGGGGCGCCACCCAGGATAGCAAGCTAGGCTTGTTTATGCTAACGGCACGGCATCGCCGGATTTTAAGAGTCAACACTAAGAGCGGCGACCCAGGGTACTCCAACGTGTTGAGATGCGATCCATGCCACTTTGAGTTCTGATCCATGTCACGGACATGGCAAGACATCATGGGGTGTCCTGGTGTTACCAAGCTGACACGCTATGGAGAGCATTCCCACCAAAAGAGCCACCGAGTTAGATGCACTCCTGTGACCTTGGTCATAGGATGTCATAGGTTTCATGTTTGCGATGTGACACCCATGGCAATCGAACAGCTGGCAACCTGTGATCAGCGCTGGAATTACGGTTGGTGGCGATTCCTGAAAGTCTGTGAGGTACTCTTTTTTTGCCGAATCTTCAAGTTTTTCATGGACAAAATCCTACACCAGCAGGAAGAATTCTTGCAAACACTATGGGAGCCTTTGTGCATTAGATTCTGCATCAATCACTTTTTTCCAACTCGTAGACACCTCCCTGGTGCACAAAATAGGTTCGCAGTCCTCCAAAATCCAATGGTTGTTTTTGATCAAAGCCCTTATTAAGATACTTTAATATCAACTCAGGAGAACTGGCACTGTTTTTGAGGTATATGATTGTCGGCTTTCGCTTGAGGTTCTAGATTGGTTCTCGGTTCTCAACTAGATGTTCTATATAGTTGAAGGAGATCTACTAAGAGCTGTTATAGGGAGCTATGATAAGGGTAATATAGTATAATATATTATTATATATAACATATCAACATATCATTCATTGCAACTTCTTCAGTAGGTCCTGTCAGACCGAATCTGGTGGAACGGATCTTTGATGAGGCATTCCAGCCCACGGAACGCCGCTCACCTGTTTGTTCCGAACCGGTTTCACTTGCCATGGACCGTCCGAAGAAATCCTGGACCACTAGGGTAGGAGTTGTCCACAAACACTCATTCAATCGTTTTTTTTCAACATGTCCATACAAGGGCGGCGGGAATGTTCGACACAAGAATCATCTTAATCATATTATGTTTTTTTCCTCCAGGTCAATCAGTCAGGAGTCTTCCCAACTCAGGTGAGGAGTTTCCTGGCCGCTTCATGGAAAAGGCACGGAATTCTTCGCGAACTGACGTTCTTCATCCTCACACGCATTCGTCGTGACGCGCTTCGAGCTCGACCGGAGTGTTTGGTTGACCAGAGCAGATCAAATGGAGCTATCAGTTGCATAAGCAACATGCAAACTGCCAGAGATGGTATGGAAGATGGTCTTCAACTTTTGTACTTGGTATCGGTTTGTCAGTGATCCTGCAATGGTTTTTGGGGCTGGGAGGGCAGAAGATGAGTTGTGTTGTGAAGACGGACGATGCCTTGAAGCCCCACCACCGGGAGTTCGTTCCTCGTCCACATGGTCCCCAACCTCGTCCAGCCGGTTTGTAATTCGCAAAACTGAAGAAGCCTAGTATACAAACTCCATTGGAAGTGGTTGCCCATCCAGAAGATTTTAACTATGGCTCGCTGTGATTCACTTGTTCTTATATAAGAATGTTAGACGGCAAAGCCAGCTCAACGTATGTTTTAGCTGGTCTTGGAAGGCTAGGGTGTATTAAAGGAATTCAAACATACAGTGGATCTGTGAAACCAACTTGGCTGTGCACCTTGTGTTGTTGACCTAGAACTCAAAGGTGATCGCTTTTCTTTGGAGAATCAGGCACCTTATTCTGGGTGGTTGCTACTCAGTAACTCGAGTGCTTTAGGCGTACCTGAGCATCTTTGATCCAACTGCTGGACCATGTACCATGATTGTTAAGTGTTCGTTCCCTCAAGGGTGGGCCAGGAATCCTCGGCACCAAATCACTCCGCTGCTCCCCAACTGCTGGGGGATCGAACTCGCCTACTCTTGCAGTTTGCGGGCCCCGGCGCCTCTGCTGCGGAGAAGCTCTATGCGTCAGTGGCTTGGGCGCAACAGCTGTATGCGTCAACGTACCTCAAATGAGGTGCACGCAAAAGGAGGCGGAAGAGGGGTAGCACGGGCGCCCAAATGGGTTTTCAGCACTTCATTGGGGTCACAGCCAGATTTGGGATCATGTTGACTTGGGTGCGGGTGCAATGGGTGGGTGTACTCTAGAATGCGGTGGATCTACTCGGATTGAACCGCTGTCGGCCCGTTCATCGATTTGAGGATCGCCTACATCCAATTCTTCAAAGCACCCAAGCACCAGCAGTCGGTGTCTCTACCTAATCAGGTGCTCGGATCGAGCCCACTTGGTTCAAACATAAATCGCCAGCTGAAAGATTCCACTGATCTCACATCTCAAATGCTGTGCTGGTGCCAACACTCGTACCAAAGCACAGCACCCACCTGCCCTCTCCACCTGCTAAACGGACTTCCCTTCCTTCCTTCCTTCCTTCCTTCCTTCCTTCCTTCCTCCTCCACCCCCGCAAAGACAACACCAACCACCGCGGGTGGCCCGACCGCTCCACCGCCCCACCCCGGCCTCCGACCGAGGAGGTGCATCCGACCTTGCAGGGCCTCGGCGACGGCTGGTGGGACGCGGAGCGCGTCGTGACGGATCAGATCCTCAGAGGAAGGTGGCGGGAAGATGGATGGAGAGGGTACCAGGCTATCAGGGGCTGGGTTTTTGAATGTGTTTCTTATTGTTTCTTGTTTTTTGTGATGAGTTTGACCAGACATCTGTTTTTGATTGTTTTTGAGGGGGGTGAAAGGCTGATTTGAGCTGTGCAGAATGCACAGAAATCACCTATCAGTGCATACCTGCACAGATGTTTCTGAGTGAGGAACGTTCTCGGGCTGCGGCGTGCAAACATGTGGGGATTTCTTTTTGTTTTGCGTGGTTTCTGTTTTTGGGCAGTGCAAAGGTTGAATTGTTTGCATTCCATTTTGTGTTTTCCGATTGGATTGATGTTTACAAGGTCCTTATGGGATCTTATGCGTATATTTGCGACATCATCTTACATGGAACACGACCTGTCGAATCGCCTCCATCGACCAGCTCGAGAGAGAGAGAGAGAGAGAGTCGAGCGACAAGCTCAACATCGATGAAGGGTTGTTTTGGCCAAACTCGATGAAGTATGACAAAGTTCCTTATCTTTCGTGTGTGTGAAGCACAAATTCATGTTGATGGACTTCCACGCCTACCGGAAATTCATTTTCTAGAACATGGAAATTCGATAGACCTGGATTTTCCCAGTGATAGACCCCAAAAGACCACCGAGAAGGTCAGGGGATAGACTAGACTCTAGACGAACTGGTCAGTCCGATTGCGACCATTGTTGACCCTCTGCAGAGCCAAAGTGGGGGGGTCGGGTTTTGGAAGAGTATTAGACCCATACACTCCATATGGGACTGACAGATTTACCATACAGTTGGGGTATAGTGAGTATATACTGTAATGAAAAGGGGTCAATAGGGTACAGCAAACATACTACCAGTCCCAGACAGGTTCGAGGCTCGAGGCAGATTGGTGTCCAGACTCCAGACCGTCGTGGTACCGGACCTACTGGACTCTTTTGAGAACCCCCGGTCACGCGAGCGGACCGATCGACTCTGATCACATCGGTATCGACTCTGACCCAACGGATTTGCGATCGAACGATGTGCCCAAGAACTGTGGCCCAGGAATTTCTTTTGCACCACCCGACGGACGGCCCAGCGGCTCGCGCAGAAACGGCCTGTCTTCCAGTACTTGCCGCTCAGCGGCAGGAAGGGGGCCCGGTTCCAGCCAACGGGTGGGGGAATCATTTGGGCGGAGTTTCTTGAAGTGCCTGAATGAGTTCGGGGACGGGATCATTCCGGTGTGTTTTCCAGTGAGAATTCGTGTAAAACAGTTGGTTCGGCATCATGTTGAGCGATCAATCCACAACCTGCAGTGTGAGAACATGTTCTTGTCCAAAAGAGAACAATTCGATGCAACCTACTTACTTGCACCAGGCCCCTGTGGCCCTGTCTCCAAGCACTGAATGTGGTATACACCGCCTCACCAGGACCCCAGCGTCAAGACGACGTAACGCTGGGATGCCGCACGCGCCGGCCGTTGGTTCGTGCCCCCGTCGCTCGGTGTCGCATACACACGCCCAGCGTGGTCCTCACCGAAAAATAGGAAAGAAGACTCTCTGCTCGTCTGGGCCGGGCCTCACGATAGTTGTGAGAGTCGACGTTGAGGAAAGAAGACCGTTTTATCATCGAGTGTCGTGAGAGTCGGCGTGTTTCTTCACGGCAGGACCTTCGTGAGAGGACGTCGGGTGTGTTGCTTTCGGATCTGCAAAGCGTGTGCCGTGTGCGGTAACCGACAAGGGAAGCATTGACTCGTCTTCCATCGTCATGTTGGAAAGAGGGATTTTCACAGAGTCTTGCGTGCCAGGACCATCTACTAGAGATCCCTAGATAAATTGAGTAGTGTAGAGTAGAGGAGTCCAGGAAAAAGGACACCCACCATCCGGATGGTCCAGGCAGCCAGTGAGGCACATGTGACACGATGTACTTTGGATGAAATCCACCTCATTCAGCTTTGATGTGAATTCCGATGCCTTGGGACGGTTCAAAGCCGTCGATCTTGGGACTGGCTGCCCAGGTTCAACCACTCCGCCAAGAATGGCCCGGTGGTGTCTCACAACGACGAGCTGCCTTTCGTGGCCTGATTTTGTGGGACGGAGAGACTTTTGAGGAATGACTCTCAGCCACAAGGAGTTCCAAGCTCCTCAACATATAATTGGTCAAACATGAAGTGGTCAATTATGGTACAGGGATTCGTTTTATCTCTGGAACCTGGGGGTTATTTTGTAACCGAACCTGGGGGTTATTTTGTAACCTTATACTATATATTAATATAAGAGTCAATCATGGTAACCAGATCCTTGACCAAATGGAACTAGGTCTTTGTTTTCTTGTTTGCATTAGTTAGTTTGCAGCATCAACTTTTGCACATCAGCTGTGGCTCAACGCTGTTTGTTCCAGACTTGGTTCATGAACTAACTTGCTCAAAAATTGTTGGGTCAGATTAGCTGTTGTAAACAGAACATGTTCTCTACATACCACTTATAGAAGGTCGAGCTCACGTAGTGACGCCCGGCATTTCCGTCACGTCAGCGCGGGGTCAGCCGAGGTGTGGCGTGGTTTGAAGATGCACCTCAGCACCGAGGAGTGGAAACTCTCCGCAGAGGTCGCGATGCCTCTCGGCCGAGAGCCTTGAAATGCGGGGGTTGGTTGGTGGTGAAGATGGAGTGGGAGCCACGAAACCCAGTCCAAACCAGAAACAAACACGTTTGCCCCAACAGCCGGTAAATGATCTCAATGGATCTCAATTGCTATGTTGGACACATTAATTACATGTGTTTCTGGGTTGGGACTGGGTTTCCAGACATGTCTGGCCACTGGCAGACCCCGTTTCGGGTCGAAATCTCCAGTCGTCGTCGCTTGCTCCTCAGGTCGTGGTACCACTTTGCTGCCACTGGGAATCCCAGCACGGATGTTTTAACATGGCCGCAGATCCAGGGCCAGGCCAGGTTTTATGGAGGGCACGGCTGGAGGGCCAGGTTTTTGCCTTTGAGTGACGCATCCAAAGGGTGTGGCTTGCTGCAAGGGAATCTCGGACATGTACGGAATGATGGTGCGTTTGAGTGACTCTCTAGTCAAATTCGTTTGATCTGAGGGAATGCATTGGATGCCTTGATACAACTGTGGATTTTCTTGGATGTTTTGAAGCCTGTCTTTAATGTTTATATTTTATACCATAACCATCTTCCACCTCCTGCTCTCATAGAGATGTTATACCATCAAGAACCAGCATTTTGCATGCTGCATGCCTTTGGCCGCGCGCGTTTCCACGCGGTCCCCGGTGCTCATTGGGACTGTGGCTGAGCGCCTCGCTCCTCGCTCGTCGCGGCGTCGCGCATCGCTGAGCGGCAGTCCCCGAGCCTCGGACTGCTCCGGAATCCGATCCACTAGGCCCCGACGCTCATGTTGAAGTTCCAAGTGGCCTCCCAGGGTGGCAACGAGGTCGGACGACCTGTTGCGGACGGGACGGACGCCGTGGGTGGACCTGTTGCGGTGGGTGGGTGCTAGGGATGATTGCACACGTTCGACTGCCATGATGGCCATGATCTGGAGGGTGGGTCCCCAGGTGTTTTGCGTGTCGGGCGATGTGGTAGGTGAAAAGGGACATTCGGCCATCATTGCCAGAAAATGAAGGGTCCTGACGGTTTCGATTTGGAGCCACTGCGGGTTTTACCAAGTGCAGCACAGCAGCAACAAAACATATGTTATTGTGTTGTTTCCATTGGCGTTTGCGGAAGACAATCCTCCTATGTCCGTGGCGGCACCTGCATACAGCCTAATTCAGATTCGACAGGATGCATGAAAGTCTGGGCACATCTGGCCTCGCAGCAGGAAAGCACAAGGAGGAATTCCTAAAGAACGCCCTTATTGCATCCCCTAAACCCAAGTCTCTTGGCACTCGATGCAGACCCTCGCATGCGACGACGCTCGTGTGCTGGGTGTGTTGAAGTCGGATCTTACTGACCAAGACGCCCCGCGACTGCGATGCGGCCCGAGCCCGGGTCCGCCGATGCAAGGTGATGGATGCGGGGTATCGAGATGAGTTGCTTGGAAATATCGTTCGCGGGTTAAGGCGGGTTTCGGATCCTAACTTGGATGTTTGGACTGAAACAATATGTATGGCCTGGAGTACAAGTACCCAAAGACTGCCCAATGTATTGGTGTTTTAGGGATTTTTATGGGGTCATGTCTCCTTTTCCTTCGGTTCCGGGCAGGAAGACCATCCGGTCTCCAGGCAGGAAGACCATCTGGTGAAAACGGATGCGACCGGTGTTTCGCGCCGGAACTCGACACCGATGGACGTGAGGATCACGTGAGTCACCTGTGGGCAAGTGACATGAAGACCGCAAGTGACGTGAGGAGTGACTTGAATGACGTGTGTCAACGTGTGTCAACTTGTGTCAACGTGTGTCAACTTGAATGCTGGAATCTTAGGTCTCCAGATTGAGCACCATCATGATTTCAATTTAAGAAACACAAGCGCTACCATCGCTATCATGAAGGGAATGCTCCAAGGATCATGGGACTGAATAGTCACAAAGATGAGCCCAGTCAGGGGTGCTTGTAAGCAAACCAGAAATCAATTGTCAGACTATCTCAGAGTGGTTCCCAGTCTTGAAATGAAGATGATCTCCACGTCACATGTCTCCTTTTTTTTGTGTGTGTTTTGATTGTTGTATAGTTAAACTTGTTTGTCAGTTTGCATCAGTTCAACCGGCTTCTTCAGTTTTCGTGACCTTTATCTTTTACGCCCGCGTTTGTGACCAACCGGGATAAGAAAAGATCGCTTGGAAGTGAGAGTGACTTGATGCCATTAGGAGCGTCCCAAAAACTCTTTGGAGCCGAAAATACACATGGGATAAACCATGGATAAACCAGCAATGCATCAACTTCATCAGGAATGTCATCTGAGTCATCTGATGATGGTTCAACAAGACTAAGACATACTACAAGCCCCTTCGAATACATATTTTTAAGATCAGCGCCACGGATTCTGCAGGGGGGTTGTGTTTATCAACCACTGGGTCAGGTAATTTTCCCGCTGGCTTTTTGCCCCTGTGAATCCCCTGAGGCAATGCAACTTCATGATTGGTTGGTTGAACCGCAGCTTAGAGCGTTGGGCGCCGGTGGACTTTTACATTTGAGCCATGTTTGGCGGATCCCAGGGCAGAAACCAGCCTGAACTGTTCGGTCAGCTGGAACCCCTGCGATTCCAAGCTGGACTCCTGTGGGAACTGCCTGGATGATTGGATGATCTGCGAATCCGAACGGGCCCGTCACCGAAACGCAGGGGTCGAAGCCTTCACCGAAACGCAGGGGTCCGGACCCGAAGCAAACCCTGGAACATACTTTGAGGCAATTCTGGGGATCTCGAGTGATTTTGTTTGTTTGGTTTTCTCTGAATCACAGGTCTCCAAGTTCTGATACAGTTTCAGGATGCTTTTTTGGAATGGTCCTCGATATGTCCAATTGAAGCTACAGGGTTCATTGTTTAGTATATATAAGGCCCACTCATGCTCTGTGTCCAAGAAGGTGTAGAGACTAAGGCAACACATGAGGATGAAGATTCCAACCGAACTTGGGTTCCACCTGTTGTGAGGAACATCGACGTTGCCGAACTAGGGCAAAATCGTTGGGACCTTCCAGCGAACTGATGGTTCATGTAAGACCCCCAAATAGATCGAACAATAAAGTTGTTTCTATTTATTTGGGGACCACTCTAGGCCCCTAGGCTTTGAAGGGTGAGGTTGTTGCGAGGCGAGCTTCAGTGTTGAAGATTCGATGTGATATGTGTGATTTTGCATGGAATTAAGGGAATGGGCTTGTAGTCTCAAGCATGATTTTGGTATGAAAAAGCATCAAAGCAGAGACGGCAGATGACGGCTTTTCGATCTACTGTATTTGGGGTTATCTCAGCTTCTCCAAGCAGAGACGGCTTCCGGGGCTTGCAGTAGCCATCAAGCACGACCTCGTGCTTGATTCTGTGCGCCTCACAAGCGAGGCGATCGATAGTTCAGCATAGGTCCCTGCGATCCTATTCTGTGGGCAGGCTGTTCAGTCTCTAACCTATCCAGTCTCTATATATGCCTACAACATACCCCGTTTCAGCCTCATTAGAACATTCAACAGTAGTATTCAGCAGTTCTGTTTGCAAGAGATTACCCATTGCAATATATATATATATATATACAGTTTTTCATGTGGGAGGGGTATGTTATTGTGAATTAATCTCTCTTAGGGTCTGAGTTCCTGCTTAGTGTCGATCAGTAATTCTCCCTTGTCAAGCTGCCCACAGAATCACTTCAATTCTTTGTGATTGGAATGAATACCCATCAATCCTTTTTCTCATTTTTTCATCCCATCCGTGTATTCATGGAACTAGCTGCCCAGCCGTCACCCTCTGCCAAAATTCTGCAGCCATATCATGGTGTTTTTTTGCATCCTCCACAGCAGACAAGCGGCAGCTAGCAGCATTTATGTTTTCTTTTTCCATGTCCGGGTCTTTAATTCCCCTTTTGAGCTAACCGACTCCCCAATTCTTGGCTGTCGAACTTGTTACAATTCTCATGAATTTTCTTAAACATGTCATTATGAGAAGGCCACAACGGGTGCTCCTCATGAGCCTCGTTCCAGCTATACACAATCATACCCAGCTTAGACCAGCCAAGAAAGCATCCTTCTTCTTGTTAACGGCATCCATAGGAGCAAACAAAAGAACAAGGACCACAAGTGGTCACCTAAGCCACCTCGTTCCTCGGGCAAGTTTCGCATGACTTTGTCCCAAATTTTATGGATTGTCATTGTATGTTACATCATTGTAATCAATTCACAAGATTCTCCTGATGCACAGCCATTCTCCTGAACTCTTCTGGACCTTGATGGGGGGGAGCGGGAGGTTTATCCATCTGGGTTTGGCAGAACTGCTGTGCCCATCTATATAGCAATATTGCGGTGGACACCAATAGCTAGCTAGGCGTGTGTTGAAGGAACATGCGAACGAGGCACGCGGAGTGTGGTGACCAAACATAGGACTCAGGGACCCATAGGCTTATCTACGGCCATTTGAAGGATTCGAGCAAGTTGTGCTGAGCCGCTGCCATGGAAAAATAGATCAACCTGTGCAGAACTACTGCTGCCAGGGCGTTGGAAAATAAGGGAAAGACTGGCAACATACAGAAATCATGTTCATGTTCTGCGCTGCGTCTCTTGAACCAAGGAACCTTGGGCTCCAAACGCGCTGCCAACCCTCCAGGGATTCCAGGGACCCTTTTTGTTCTTAACATCAGAAGTGATGTGCTTAACATCAGAAGTGATGTGTTTGGACCGCTGCCGCCGGGCTAGGCAGTCGTTGCTGTTTGGGGATGAATCTGGACCAGTGATCTGAAAACGACAGGAATCGCAGGCGGTACTGCTGAACAATTCGAGCGGTTGAAGACCAATCAGTATATATAATTCCAGGTCCAGGTTGAGGGACACCCTTTAAGATACCAGCATTTACCATCTAAAAACCTCCGGTGTGGCAAGGGCCGTCTTCTTGAAAAGCATCCGGTCGGCTTGCATCCGCTAGGTCGGCCAGGTCGGTCTGAAAGGAAAGCTGAACGGGGAGCTTGACATAAGAACACATCTTTGAGGCTTGCTTGGTGATGACGATAAGAAGAGATGAGACTCAGATGAGATGTGTTTATATATATCTCCACAAGTTCATCGACTCCTTTTGAACATCATCAAATCCAAGAACTGATCCACTGATGAAAGGAAGGTGAACCATGTTCTCCAACCATGCAATATAGAACAACCATGTTCTCCCTGTGAACTGCAGAACTTCTCTACAACTCTTGGGGACTCGATCCGCTGCAGATTGGAGCACCAGAGCACCTTCAGACACCCAAAGACCAGATCTGGACCCGGCGTCGTTCGTACCCCAGGAAATGGGACCATGACCCCCAAAGAGGTACAAAAAATCACACAAGTACCCATTTTTGCGAACAAGCTATAGTACGTAGCGGTGCCCTTTGTTACCTTCGCAGCTTTTTGTTACTAGTATGGCCAGGAGCTACGTTCGTAGCGTCCTCTTGCTCCTAGTAGCCTGGTGCCCATGGAGACCTCAGAGCGCCTCCCAGGCCCAGTCAGCGCCACGGCCGGCCCAGCCGCGCCCAGTTGGCGCGCGCGGTTCGCAGTGGGCGCGCTGGTGGGCGCGGCAGTGGCAGGTGGGGGGGGATGGGATGAAGAGGACCTGGTGGCGGGGTGGGGTGAAGGATCAGGTGTGGGTTTTCTTTGTAGCTGGAAGAGGTACATTGACGAGTTCCTTCAGTTCTTGTTACAAGAAGGGACATGGACGAGTTCCGAAGTCATGTGCTTTCGCAAACAGGGCACCAGTGACCGAAACTTCATGGGTGCAGTACGAGTACGTAGCGTCAGCATCATTCAGCTCAGGTTGTACCTACAGGATCCATTTTACTTCATAAGGAGATTGAAATTCTTGCAAGTATGCTATTGCCTAGACGTTCCTTTCGGTTTGGTTTGCCTGCCCTGGATCTCCGCCGTTCATCTCCTGGATCTGTGGGTTCCAACGGCCAACACCTATTTTTAAGCGTCTCAGTTCGGACCATGATCCACCTGCTTGTCAGTTCAGGGTCATGTCCCATGTTCGGTAGTTGAAGTGGGGTCAAGCCTCTGTGCTCACAGCACCAGGGGGTCGTACCTGGGTTTCTTCCCTCCACAGGCGCTCGACGCAGGGGCGTGAGGGGCGTGGCGCGACGGGCGACCTGGCAGATGAGAGGAACACCGTGTTTGGGAGCGTACTTGGGTGTTTATCGGACTTTTGAGGTCTCAGAAGGGGGGGGGAGTACCCAAGACCATCCATGTACGTGTGAAATTGTTACCTACAGTGATTTGGATGGGGTATAATTACGGTAAATGTATGTAACTATTCAATACATGGGAAGGTTTGGGTACTGATCTATTGATTGGAGGACACCATAGTTTGGGTGGACAGTGTGATCTTCAGACTTGGGGAGGTAGAAGTCTGCATCGGTGGGCCCAGCTCGCCAGTGTGCCAGCTCGCCAGACCGTGCTCCAACAGCTACCTTGGCCAATGTTCGCTCCAAGCCCTTTTCAAATGACTTCAACCATGGATGGAACTAGTTGATCCTCCAATCACCTACAACCCAAAAAACATCCAGTCCAACAAACCCAGAACATCCAGTCAATATAGATATAGCGATATAGCTGCAGCACATTTTGGTCACTGCTTCCTGGCCAAAACGGAGTCACCATCGACCAAAACGGAGGGCCTCGTGATTCCTAGAATCTGCAGGGCATTTTGAGCATCTGCGCACTTGTGAAGCTGCATGTCTCACGGACGCTTGGTACTCAAGGAGGTTGAACCCTTTGTGCTGCCACCGCCATCCTGAACGCCTCCCTCCCACGGCGCGTCGCTGAGGTCGCCGCGGCGAATGTCGCTGGCTTGGAAGGCACGGAGAATGTCGTGACCGAGCTCTGAGCGACCGGCAGTACCTGCGATGGTGGGTTCATGTGGATGAACTGTCCGAAAAATATCCAAATGTTATATACAGTTATAGAGCAGTTAGTTACTTGAGCAGTTAGTTACTTGTGCTTTGTTCTGGGAATCTTAAGGCTTTTCTTCTGCCAGAGTTAGTGGCTCTTCTGGTTGTTCGACCCACTTGGAGTTTCCGGGATGTATGGTCAGCTCCAGTAGCTGGATATGCTGGTCACGAGTCCTGCGGGAACAGGTAGGGGGTGTGCTTTGTTCTATGTTTGGTCTAATAATACAGTTACATATCTATATAAATAGTCCCTGTAATACTCCAAATAACTTCAAAGAAGGTGGCTTTGGGCAGGGATTTGATCTTGTAAACAGCTGCCTGTTTGTCGGGCTGAAGGTGAAAACATCCCAAACCTGTAGGCTTCGAGGGTGTTGCAAGCCCGGAACCATCCCGGAATTGTTTTAAGGAACCATTTGGCAGGACATCCATTTTAGGGAACCATCCCGGAACCATCCGTTTTAAGGACACCCACCATTTTGGGAGGTCTTCAGACCATGGTTTTCCTGTCAACGTTGGACCCGACCCCGACCCCCGGCGAGGCCCGAAGATGTGCCTCGTGGTCTTCGGCGGCACCGGCTACATCGGACGGGCGACTGTCCGGGGTCCCAAGAGACTTGGACCTCCAAACATAACATCTCACCACCCTCCAGGGGTGAGCACTCGAGACTCGAGTGCGAAAGTGAGGGATAGGGTGAGTGCGCGTGAGTGGGTGAGTGTCCGGTTTTCGACAGGTCGTTTTTTTGTTGCTAATGAATTCTAAACAAGCGGGGCACCATTTTGGGCACCTGTTGTTGATCAGGGAACACTATGGAACACCTGTTGTCATAGCTGGTCATGGTTAGTTTTGTGGATCAGGCAGGTGATTGGCATTGGTTTATCTTCCCGGATTGGGTAAATCCCCTTCTGGGACCGGGGGAAATATGTATAAATTGTATAAATTCTTTCCCGGCTTCCGACTCAGCAAATCCAAGTCTTGATGTTGGATATGTTAACGGTCCTTTCAATCCATTAAGTAGAGAAAGATGTCATTTCAAGCCAATGACCGCCGATGTGGAACACCACCCAGCAGTGACCAGCGGCGGGGGTCATCGAAATGGAGCAGGTGAACGCCTGGTCCAACTGACTGAGTCATGACACCCTGGAAGAGACCTGACATGGAACCTGATTCCGTCACTGCACATGGAGGATCTTGTAGACGTGAAGCAAACCGCACAGTGTCTCGCACACTCCCCCAGATGAAGCCAACCACGGAGGATCCAGCTTGGCACAACGCTTTCGGTCGTCTGCCTTGGCGGTTGGGACTTTCTGGGGTGAACCACTCGGACCGGTTTTTGCCACGCTCGACGTCCTGCGCGAACCTGAAATGTCCCGTTGACGAAGCTGCAGAACTGCAGGTCTTCAGATGGAAAGTACTGCAACAAACACAGAAAGTGGAGTCAACATGAGTCAACCCTCCCTCCGTCCATACATGGAAGTAGACCATTCCTTGGGATATGAGGAATTCCGTTTTTTTCCACCCTGCCGGTGATGGTCATCCACTTCGAAGAAATCGACTCTGACTCGTACTCCGACCATTGGAAGTAGGAGACGTTCCGGTCTTCCGGTTCCCCATCGTCTTCCAGTCTTCGCGTTGGACCGGGACGGACCCCGGGTCCATGGCTTCATTGAACATATTGAACAGAAGCTCCGTGACTGAACAGCCCCGTCCCTGCAATGAGGCTGGGCACCCCGACACATGAGTACCTTTCATCATTGCCATTGCTCATCAAGGGATCGTCCGACAGTCGGGCCGGTAGGAAAAGGAGATGTGATGTGGTTGCCAGACACTCCATATATGAAATGTTTACCTACATTCACCCCTGAAACCACCCCAAAGCAGAAGACACATCCGAAGGCTGGGGTTGAGAGGTACGCCCAACTCAGCTTGTGTCAGGGCAAGCCTCATCTAAAAGATGTTCTTCAGTTGTCGTCAGAAGTTGCTGAGGTCAAAGAGCTGGCTGCGCGTGGGCACGAGGTGTGCAGCGACGAAGACCGAACTCGACCGTGTGTGGGTCATTGTGGCCGTTGAATCTATTCACGAGGTAGCTTCAGCATGCTTCAGCTACCTGAGTTCTCCTTGCTTTAGCAAACATGTATTCCAATCCTGGAGTTGGGATTGTGCATTGAGTTTGGCCCTGTAAGGAAGTACGGCTGCCAACTCTATTTTTTGCTGGTCAAAGCGACGGGTGGGTGCTCATGGTCAGTCGTCATGAGTAGCTACATAGACATCGTAGACATATTCTTATGTCTAGTAGTCATTGAGTCATCCTGGAGTGCGTAGATAGAATATTGGACTATCCAAAAACATAATACAATAAGAAACTGCTGATATGTTTTTGTTGTGCTTTGTCACATTCTGTCTACTCCAGGATGGTTGCAAATCTTGGATCTGGCATTTGATGAAACTTCGCACTCCCACTCTTTAAGAACATCATGTCAGGCCCGGCAGGTTCACAATCCCCTGGTCTCTGAGTCATGTTGGATCAAATTATATGAGGCTACAGCCTATTAGCCCCCCCATACCTGATGTTTGCTGTCTACCAGTGCCAGGTCATCGTTTTCGGAACGAAGAGCCCCGACCTCCGCCCTCCACCAGGTGGTGGTTTGCACCCGAAGTAAGTCCGGCATCGGGGGCAAGGAGTCCCTAGAGGCACCGCAAGAAGTACCAGTGGGGCCGCCACGCGCGGTGCGGATGGAGACGTTTGTTGACTGTCTTGGAGCTATTTTGGGCTGTTTGGTGAAGATACCATTTCCCCCAAGCAAAGCAAACACATCATTTGGCGGTAGGATGTGGTAGATGTTTTTTGGGGTGCTGAAGGGAGTGTGCAGAGTGCGGTATTTTTTGCGGAGTCCTTGACGGTACCGATTTCAGGTGATTTTCTTGACGTGGCTTCAGGTATCATGGATCAAGAATCTTTATCCGGAATGATTGCTGATGTGAAGGGGATACCAAACAGGTCTCCACATGAATGAGAGGCTAACACCACTAGTAACAAGGGCATCGCGGCATCGTAGCAAGGGCATTACTAGTAGTAGCAAGAAGCTACTAGTAGCTCGAGGGGCACTCGTCGTTCCCGTTCGGTTTGGGGCAGAGAGGAACATCAGCGCTTGCGGGCGCTTGCGTGTTTGGATGAATTGGACCTTGTTCTTTGGTGGGATTCTGTTCAAAGAAGGACCTGAGATTTTGCCGTTTATACAATAAATATGTTCAACCTTGCCTAAATCCTAAACATGTTTGTTATTACACGTGTCCTCAACTGATCCCTACACCATGTAGCTCAACCTTCCAGGTAGGTCAACCAAGGTGTCCTAGTTTTGACCCAATTGACCAGCCCATTGATATTTCGCAGGATGTCCAGAGATCCTTCGCAGGCGCGTTACCAAAAACAACACGCGGTTCACCTGTGTTGTGGGAGCTGCTCAAGAGCTTCGCAGGTGGTGTGGTTCTCCACAGTTTGGTGTCTTTATTTACTCTTTAGTCTTCAACCTTATTTGCCAATGACTACCCCTGTTGAATCATATTTTTGAGATGGGCTTTAACCATCTTTAACCACCATCCAATCAAGATATATCAATATGATGAAAGTTCGTGGCGATTTGTGAGTGCCCATGTTGCATGCTTTATCCTGACTTGAACTCCCTTTCAGTCGTGATGCCACCTCGTTCGAAGCCAATTTCGATTCCAGATGCCAGACACTTCCATTCTGCTTGCTTTCAACGGATCCCAGCAACCTCAAGTGTGACCTTCGCACCAACACCTCAAACCGAACAAAAAAACTAACTGACCGGACCTCTATTTTGGGCCACCCAGCACCCCAAATACAACCTTTCCTATAAAAACAGGGACTATGTTTGGTTTCTATACAGGTCATAGGTGATTTTGTCGGTGGATTCAGCCGGAGCTTCCATGGGACTACTATTGCACAGCTGCGGCTGCGGTGTCGATCACATGATGTTGGACCCAGTCGGACAGTTTCCGCTGGTTGGTGAATAGACAGGGTTTTTGGTGGGTTTGCCCTTCCAGGTCTGTATATTCATGCATGCAACATGGGGCAAACAAAATCGCAGGTGAAGGCGCACGCACACACATGTTTGCAAAAGAGCAACATGATTAGCGCAGCATATCCCCGTGTTTTTTTTTTGTCGTGGCATCTTGCAGTGGGCGGGTGGGAGAAACACTGTGAATGTTGGTTTTTAAATGTATATACCTGTTTCAACATGTTTCAACTTCTGGATCTGCTTCCTCCGCGTGCACCTTCTTGTAGTTGTTCACACATGTGTCATTTCATCGCAATATTCACACGGACCTTTCGGTATTGACGTTTGATGGACGTATGGACGTTCGGGGTTCCTGTGACAATGAGTATATAACGTCTTTGTATATAGGTTCCAGTAGCGGATCAGCGATTAGCGATTTGGTACCCTTCCTGGAAGCACGCTGCAGCCTTTTCGTGTGCGGGAAAGGTCTTTGTGCGAGGGTCTTGACTTCGGGAAAATCCGTTGGACTGGAAGTGTGGCAGAGGCCAATTTCTCCTCCACCCGCCAGGGCGATCCAACTGTAGGCTTTTGGAAGCCACCAGCTTGCCAATCCGAGGTCGCTTGATGCAACCTTCAGAGGTCCCCCCTTACCGGCCCTACTGAGCACTTGCCGGATGCTGGTGTCCAAAACAAAAAACACATCAAAAAGCAAGTACATACATCCCCCCAAAAAGACCAAACATGACCATAACATCCAGCAGCTAACAGACACCCCCGACACCAAAACACCAACAACCTTCCCAAAGCAGACATCTTTCTTCCGAAAGCGACGTGACAGACCTGGCAGGTGAAGGGAACATCACTGTCGTCGAGGGCGACGTGACAGACCCTGCAGCCTTGGCACGGATACCCGGGTTGGAAGTGGGAGTGGGAGGAATGGAGAATGTATTCCTACCACTAAGTGGACAGTCAGGAGGTCGAGTTATGAGTGGCACGGATGTTTTCCTTCAACGTATATATTAGACCTCCCGTCATAGACAGATAGAACAGTAGATCCACGATCGTATTGGACACCGTGCCACTATCTATTTGGGGATCACTCTAATCCTACCCAGGCAAAAATTGATCACCTGCAGCAGGTGAGCAATTTTTGGGGGATTGGGGAGCAAAACTCATAAAAAGTACAATACTGGTGCAACATTTGTTTCACAACGATTTTCCCAACAAAACTGAGGAGGGGTCAGTCAATGTAGGCTGTTGATGACTGATGAAAAGCAAACCGCCATATGGATGCCTGAAGGATCACAGTCTCCAAATAGAGGATCTGATGACTGGTGGTCCCACAACCTTTGCCAATAAGCGTATGCCCTGTGCACAGTGGTTGTATGAAGCCGAAGTGTGTACTTCTCAACATTGGGGGTATCAATATATCGTCTCCATTTGTCTCCCATGAAAGTTCTTCTGGCTTTGTTTTTGATACCAAGGCAGTCGGGGATGGTCCTTGACAAACAGAAGGACTAGTAGGGAACTTATGGGAAGAGTGTTGTCTCAGCGTTCAACTTGTTCTAAAGCAAACACTCACCTTGAACTTGAAACCGTGCAAAGCACGGGAAGCAGAGGAAAGGGTCACCAGATTCCTAGGATATTACATAGGATTACTTTGATGGCCAGCCCCACCAGGATTTCTGCAGGACATGGCCGAGACGAAAGTCCTTTGGGTCGTGGTTTGGGTCGTAGTTTTGCCAAACAACAGATGTTATAGGTTGTGGTCCTTATGTTAGTTGACAGATACGTTGTTTTTCTATGTTTTTCTCGCGTCCAGGTCGTTTTCTTTCAATGTTTTACTTGGCATACCGTCCAAACTTCTTGTAGCCTCCCCACTCATGTCCTCTCCTGGTGCTCTGGTGCAGAATCGGCCGCTGAGGATGCCTTGTTTGCCTCGCTCCCGCGGACAGCGCAGGGCGCCGTGTGCTGCTTGGCCAGCCGCTCCGGGGGTCGTCAGGACGATCCGCCGATCCGCCGATCCGCAGACCGCCTGTGGCCGTGACTGGTAACACCCAGCACGTGCGCCTCCGTCAGCCTCGGTTTGCTTAGGGTGTGGTGTTCTCTGTGTCTTTGTTGCCCCCCCAAAAATGGGTCGGGAGTTTGGGAGCGATGGTCCAAGGTTGAGACTGCCGTTTTGGGAGCTGGTTGTCCGCAGTTCAGCCCACCTCCCCTCGTCGAGAGAGGATTCTGTGGATCGACCTCTTTGGGACTCGGACCTCCCACATCAAAGCTGCTTGTGGTGGGCCAGATGCACCGGGAACTCAGATTTACAAGGGCCCTCCATGGCCCTCCATGGCCCTCCTGGATTTGGGGAGTTGCATGTTGTTCTCTGAGCATGAGATGGTAGATTCTAGATAGGATGTGCTCCAAATTAATGGTGAAAGGGGGTCCGATCTTAAAAGATGCTGCCGCCAAAAGCAAGGCTTGAGAGTGGAGTCATTGGAACACGATAGGCGAGTTTTGTCCAGTCTGACTCATCTCAAAACCCACCATACCCCACCAACAAAGGAGTCATAACATGTCATACCCCACCACTACCGTGGAACTCACTGGTGCCCCTTTCTTGATCGGTCACGTTGCACAATCATTTTTGTTGAGCACATGTTGGTTGCCTCAAAATAAGGAGACCCTCGAACACTCCCCAACACAACTTGCATTGTTCATGTCTCTGATAACAAAGGTCTTCTACACACCCTCCCAGTGCACCACACCCTCCCAGCCACCGTCCGAATCCACCGTCCTCCGTCCTCCATCCGTCTCGGACCGATGACGAGAGGATTCCTTCGACATCGACTATCAAGCCACTGTGAACTGCGTCGAGGCGCTGGGCGAAGCGGTTCGGGGCGATGTTCGGACGGGAGGAGCAAGCGGAGGACACGAAGGATGAGGATGGATGAGGACGGAGAGCGGAAGTGAAGCTTCCAAACACTCCGAACCAGAGTTAGGGAAAGCACATGTTTGCTAGTCCATGAGTTCGGATGTTCTTCCTTGTTACCATGACTTGCCCTTGACTTTGTCATATTTTGTCTATATAGATCAAGACGAACCGGAAGAGTCAACTTCACGAAACTGGTTTCTCCTTCTTCAGGTTCCAACCCTCGTTTTTTTCGGTGATTGATCCCTATCAAGGATCCACGTCCAAACTCGGACTATGTCGGACCCTCCAAGGTTCGGCTGTTTGGAGACCCGAGCACAGGTGGCGAACCTGGGTGCCTCTCTTTGTCACCAGGAAGCACCTGTGAAGTTGGGTGCTGGTATATATGATCATATGATCCATCCCTGGGTTCCAATGTCCCAACTCCAAGAATTTCTTTCCGTCAACCTCCCTCAACAGCTCAGCCGGGCGAGACTGGCGCCCAATACAGCGGCAGCCCGAGATCGAACGGACGCACGAAAAAAACGAGTGTTTCCTTTTTTGGCAGATCAAGCCGGTTTTTTCTTCTCTTTTTTCGCAGATAAAGTATTTGTCTTTTTTTCGCGCAGATGTTTCAACGCTTTCCCACACTTTCAGACATTTTTCAATTGACTATTGCTTATGGTGCAATTTGATATGTTTGGACAAGGGCGGTGATTTCTCAAGGATTGAGATTCATTACCCAGACGCTTTCACTTCCATGTAGAACAAGTAGAGAAAAGAGGCTTTGGTCCATGCAAGTGTTTGTATAATTGGACATCACGGTTGCCCATTTTGGGTTCCCTACATGGTATTATGCTTCCCTATTTGGCAACTAACCAAACACACGATTGGCAGGTGATGGTGCTCGATCCCATCGGCCGTCTTCCCCCTTCAACTTGCGGTTCGTTGGGGGTTTTGGGGTCGGACTTCGTTCCGCATCCATCTCCGCCGTGCTGCGTTCGCCAGGCTTCGCGAAGGGCGAAGCTGGCGCAGTTCGTGCTGCTCTCCGCTGTGTGTGGGGGCGCTTGGGTTCACACAAGAATGTCTCTCTCTCTCTCTCTCTTTGTGTGTGTAACCTTGGAGATCCTTGGAGTCATATGGGGTGTCTCTTGGACTCTGTTGTTTTCTGTATACAGGGGTGAATGGAGCACCAAGGAGGTTTGCTCCGAAAACGAAGCACTCCTTGGCATTGACTAGGCACAGACAACATCCGAGACGGCCCTGTTGATCAGGCCCATTGACTAGGCTCTGATTCTGAGACCTGGAGTTGCGTTCTGAGCCCTGGAGTTGCTCTTGAAGGTTTCAATCTTGAAGGTTTGCATGCTCAACTTATGCCAGAAGTTGGGCTACAAGAGGATGACTTCTTTTTTTTCCGATCGTGTTCTTACTCTCGACATCTCCGCCCTTGTTCAGTCCGCAACGACCGACGTTCCACGTTCGACGTTGGCAAGAGATGGGGTTCTATCAGACGCGATCGGTGGGACTGCCATAGGACTGCCGATCAGGCCAGGGGTGGTTGAAAAGGGGTCAATTGATCGGCAGTCCTATGGCAGTCCCATGGAGCATCTGGGATATGGCGTTGATTTGAAGCGCTTTCCAGTCAGGGGACCGCAGCTGATTTGTAGCGCAGTCAAGTCTTTGACAATGAGAGGACACCCGCTTTAAAGCTGCTTTTGGCATCTTTCGGCAACATCGACATTTTTCACACCAGATGTCCAGCGCAGGATGGGAACTCAGTGACGGTTGATCAGCAAGGAGCTGAGCGATGTCACCATCAACATCATTGCAGCAGGTATGCAGTGATTGTACCCTGCTATGGATGACAAACCTCTATGATGCATACCAAGGTAGAATGAAGCATCTGTTTGGGACAGTTGGTCGTTTGTTTCATCCTTAGGAGCACTCCCAAACAATACTATACCACATCACATAGCATGTTTTGTAGGCATGACATGCATGCCTCGTTGTTCATGGAAGTACCAGCCCCACGAAGAGGCTTGCATTGAACACTGCAATCGGTGAGGACGCTCACCGACGTACCTGCGTGATGAAAGGGAAAAAAACCACTTGGTCCCTGCTTTTCAATAGAACAGGACCTCTGGTCCTTGGCTTGGCTTTGAAGTAAGAGTGCAATTGAGCTCGGCAGACTTAGCTTTCATGTGACACTTCCACCTTGGGCCTTCAAGACCTTTGAGGTGACTTTCGTTGAGCTCCTTTTGCACTGGTTTTACCCAAGACGTTCAGACCGCACTTGCTTTTTCCCAAGTGGGTGGGTGGGTGGCAGCGCTGGATGTTCAGGTCACTCCATCCTGGCAAAAAATAAATGGACATGATTGACAACCCTTAGTTGTACCCAGTGAGTAAGTTGGACAAGTGGGATAAGTCCACAACACTCAGTTCGTGAGTTCTACTAAGACTATATCACATTAGATCAACCAGTGGCCCACCTCTATCTTGAGATGATTCATACATGACAGGCAACTAATTCTGCTTGTGAAGCAGCCTAGTCCAACGGTGTTTCTCGTTTCAGCCACCGAGGCGTCCAGCGGCCTTTGCTGGCCTTCCAGGAAGCCAAGCTCAAGGCAGAGGCAGCGTGTGGAGCACGAAACCGAACGGGACGCGGTCACTCGGAGCACACGGAACCAGTTGGTTCAGGATAAGAAGGCGGCCGAGCTCGCACCATGAGGTTGCTGTCCTGGCAACTTAGTCGCTGACGTTGGCCCCAACATAGCCCAAAACGAAGAAACACAAAACAATAAACTCAAAAATATGTCGACTCTCTGTCTCTACAGCCTGGAATTCAATAACCGTTCCAGTCCACAGATTGATCTGTAGCACGTGCAACCTCAGCTGCTCGCGCTTATTTCCAATGTGACACCCTTCATGGAGTGGCTGGACAGCACCACCGCAGAGCACAAGGACTTGATGAGACCAGGTCCTGAGATTTGTGAAGAGATCTGCACGACTCCTTGACAGAAGCATGGGCCAACGTGGATGGCACCACCTGTTTGGTATTTGGATTTCATGGTCATCTGAACTCAGGGTCATGCCATCCACGTTGGCCCATCATGATTTGCGAGATGAGATTAGAGTGATGGGATATCTGCAAAGCGAACGACAACATGATCGACATGGGTCGAGATGTGTGGCCTGTTGGTCCAATTCTTCAAGGCTTCGCTGTTCGCCAACGAAAGCATGCCCCAGAAGAAAAATGGCCCAACGATCAGTGAACACCATGTCTTTGTTTCTCCTTTCGAATCTCTAGGGATCCACGGATCCCCCCTCTGAGGTACGGTGATGTGTGAGGAACTCCTTGATGTAGGCGCCAGCCAGTCGGGTCCAATCACTGCTCAGAGGGTGGCAGTGGATGGCATCAGAGACCTTGTATCCTTCGTAGGGATCCTAATGCCGCTCGCTAGTAGCGCGATCCGCGCGTGGCTGAGAACCATTTGGGCATCCATATATCGCAGGAAGGAATGTGACCTTGGTTCGCAGAGATGTACGGGTTCCTACGTTTTTCTTGGCTTCATGCCGTGGACCACGTGGATCATGCTTTTCTCATGTGGTTGAGGAAGATGGCAGATGATGGCAGTGACCAAGAACGCCCATGTCTGGTGTCTGGCCGTGTGTTGGCCATCACTGTGGCCGGTGGTCTTAAGGCAGAACATCCTCCTTCTTTGCACAGGATCTGAGACGCTTAGAGTGGCGAGAGCACAGCGGCAGCCTTGGTGAAAGGAGTGAGGCACCTTGAAGGCCAAGAAACTGACCAAGCGCACTTGGGCCATCGGTCAAGGCTAGAAAGATCTCACAGCTGAGCAACCAGGAGAACTTGGTGCCGCAGGATCATCAGGTCATGAGTGGTTTCGGATCATCATGCCCTGCATTTGGACACTGTAGGCAAATCTCATCCTGAACCCTCCGTCGTAGCAGAAAAAAGTGACAGAAAAAAACTGCACATCATCAAAAAAAGCGTTCATGCCTTGAAAAAGCGTACCACTGGAAAGTCAGATGTAGCTTCATTCCACCTTGTGTGGTCTTCAAGTCCATTCCCCTGCCACATGCTGGCACCCATCCCATGCACACACAACACACGCTCACACACTACGAAGCGGCAGCCAGCAATCCCTTTCTTTGATCTTCAGTATCAACATAAAAGATTCAAGTAAAAAAACATCCGCCACTTTTTAGAAATTGCGCCCGGGTTGCGGGAATTTGCGCCCAAGTTGCGGGCACCCTTTTTGGAACAAAATTGGTAAAGCACGCCCAGAAGGTTAGAACCAAACCTTTGTGGTTTCAATTGCACATACTAGGAGAGGTCATACAGGATTTCCACCCGGTCCATAGGGCCCCCAAAGGCCCACAAGGGTTGATAAGGACACTGGTCAGGAACCAGTAGGCTTTAGAATTTACAACACCAAAAAGCGCTCATATGTCCTGAAAAGTGTACATACCCTCAATTAACGCTCAAACTTCCAATAAGTGCTCCAAACCATGGTTCGCCAGAAATAAGTGTTACAAAGGATGCTTCAGGATACCTGGAGCTTCAACTCTTCACATTCTATTGCGAGAAATGTTCGACCAGGGGGATTACCGGACCTCCAGCGTATGAATGACTTTGGATCGTCATACGACCCTGGGTCGTCAGTCGGAGCGGCTTTTCACGCGCTCCCAACACCGTTCCAGCAGCACGCTTGGGCACATCACAGCAATCGTTTTCCTCAAAATCCAAGCAGAGAGCAAGTGTTTCTGGCTTCAAGTGTTTTTCTTCTCAAGTGGTGGTCAATTCCCTGCGAGAGTATGCTGGATGTGTTTCCATGTACTCTCCCGGAACTAAAACGGAAGTGGCAAACCTCCTGTTTGTAGAGGAAACTTGTCTTTGCAGGGACCATTTTCCACTTCCATGATTGTTGTAGGGAGAGTAATTATTTAGGATTCATCTGTTGAGTGGTGGAGAAATCCAACAAAGGGATGCTACCTTTGCATAGGATCTTTGTAGAGACGAGCTGGGTCAAGTGCTTCTTGCCCACTTCACACTTTAATGCGGAAGGTGGAAATTTACGACGTACCTCCTATAGCTAGAGACATAGCAAGAGGTTGGAGTTTCCTGTGGTTCCTGGCTGGCGCAGGGCATATATTGTGTCCTGCAACATAGGTGTTTGATGGGTTATGTCCAAGCAGGCAACCGCGGGTTGCAACACAATAGTCATTGAAGCGGATGGTGGGAAAGCACAATACTTTGAGCACATCAGTGTTAGCCAGGTTTTGTTCTTGTCAACATACTTTCCATCAATTCCCAATCAGAGTGTGAATTCCAGTGTCTTGCTCACGTTGGTGACCAACCCGTTGCTGGTCTTGTCCTCCTTCCCTCGACCGGTGCTCCCGCGCCGATCTCCGGTGCACCGTCGCTGGCCGTCGCTGGCCGCCAGGCGGAGCTTTGCAAGGAGGGGCCCATGGCCTATTCCGTGGTGTGGAGCCGAGTCCGAGTCGGACCCGACATGGACCCGTCGCTCCGGTAAGAGTCGCGACGAGCCGACGCGAAAGGATTTCTGGGGTTGTTGCTTTATTCCCCAATAGCCATGCTATGGGGTCTTGCAAAACTAATAGGCGGACGGGGTCTCCAGCTGGGCTAATTGTGTCTTCATATTTCGGAGTTCTGACAAATTTCGAAGCAAGAATTGACGCCCCTTAGTCCCTACCCTGACCGTTCCCTAGAAGGTTTGTTGTTTGGGGTCTGTTGGAAAGTTGAGGGTTTGCTTTGACTTGTGATTCGGCCCAGAGAGATGAATCTTTTGATGTGGTGGGCTCCCAAAGCATAGTTCCCTTCATGAGATTCTTCGTCAACTTGTGTAAAAGTAGGACTGACAAGTTATGACAACAAAAGCTATTGAATGAACGACACTGAAAGTGTGCCTTATGGACATTATCGCTTATCAAGTTGAAGCCCGTGATGCTGAAAATGCGGGTGTCCTCTTGGTCTCTCTTTTGACATACAAAACTTCAATTACTTTACTTCGAGTGATCCCCACCATGACATTTCAATCTTTTGACTTGATGCCATAGTGAGGAGCATGTTGCCATGGTCGTGAGTATTGTAGTTCTCGATTTTGCTTGTGGGTCCTCGGGTTGTGTGCTGCGGTTGTGTGTTGTGGTTGTGGTTGTGTGCTGTGTTGTGGTTGTGGTTGTGTTTGTGATTGTGTGTTTGTGGCTGTGTGTTTGTGATTGTGTGTTTGTGGATGTGTTTGCGGTTGTGCTTGTGGCTGTACGTTTGTGGTTGTGTCTTTGTGGTCGTGTTGTTGTGGTTGCGTGTTTGTGGTTGTGTTTGTGGTTGTGTGTTTGTGGATGTGTTTGTGGCTGTGTTTGTAGTTGTGTGTTTGTGGTTGTGTTTGTGGTTGTGTGTTTATTGTTGTGTCTTTGTGGTTGTGTGTTTGTTGTATTATGTTTGTGGTTGTGTGTGTGGTTGTGTTTGTGGTTGTGTGCTGTGGTTGTGTTTGTGATTGTGTTTGTGGTTGTGTGTTGTGGTTGTGATTGTGCTTGTGATTGTGTATTTGTGATTGTGTGTTTCTGGTTGTGTTTGTGGTTGTGTGTTTGTGGTTGTGTGTTTGTGGTTGTGTGTGTGGTTGTGTCTTTGTGGTTGTGTTGTTGTGGTTGTGTGTTTGTGGTTGTGTGTTTGTGGTTGTGTTTGTGGTTGTGTGTCTATTGTTGTGTGATTGTGGGTGTGCGTTTGTTGTTATGTTTGTGGTTGTGTTTGTGGTTGTGTGTTTGTCGTTGTGTCTTTGTGGTTTTGTTGTTGTGGTTGTGTGTTTGTGGTTGAGTGTTTGTGGTTGTGTGTCTGTGGTTGTGTGTCGATTGTTGTGTTTTTGTGGGTGTGTGTTTGTTGTTATGTTTGTGGTTGTGTTTGTTGTTGTGTTTGTGGTTGTGGTTGTGGTTGCGTGTTTGTGGTTGTGTTTGTGGCTGTGTGCTTGTGGTTATGTGTTTGTATTTGTGTGTTTGTGGTTGTGTTTGTAGTTGTGAGCTTGTGGTTGTGTTTGTGGTTGTGTGTTTGAAGCATACTATCTGCCATTCAATCTGCCATTCTTTCTGGCAATCTATCTGACATACTATCTGGCATACTGTTTGTCTGGCATTCTATCTGGCATATTTTCTGGCATTCTATCTGGCAATGTATCTAGCAATCTATCTGACACACTATTTGGCATACTATCTGGCATATCTTCTTGCAGCATTCTATCTGGCAATCTACTTGGCATTCTATCTGGCATTTTATCTGGCAAACTATCTGGTTGAGGTCCAGCGGTGCACACTGCGATCGGATCCTTGCGGTTGAG